GCATCTTCAAATATTTTATGCGCGTAACATTAAAAAAAAATTTTCCTTGAATTAGCGAGTGCCATTTTGAATTTTGATAATACGAGCAGCTTTTAAATCATCTTAAGTAGTAAATCTCTCAGCTTTTCATGAAACATACTATGATAATCTTTTATTTGTATGTTATGCACTGTTCTTGTATAGTTTGTAAAATATAATATGTAAGCGCGGGAATTTACTCGAGTAAACTTACTTAACAGTTTCCTATTAAGAAACTGGAAACTTCCTGTCATGAATTAACGTGCAGAAAAAGGATGAACATATGGGCGCGTTGTTCCAAATCAGGTTCACCCCAAAGGAAAATTTTCCGTCAATAGTCTCTCCTCAAAGAGCCAGCAGAAACATGTACCTGTGACGCAGATTGGCACAGAAAACGTAACCTTGGAGAAGAGGAATTCTTGAACGATGAATCTTGCGCCATGTGCGTGATTCAAGAGCGTTGTGTTTATTCCGTGCTACTACACCAGGCTATCACTACGATTGTCATATTGCGAGGGGTGACTAAACTAAATATGTTCCAGTTTCATCGTTATTTAGTCATATTACATAACACAAGAGATGCAAATCGTCATCAAGGCGTTTTCTTGAACTTGACTCTCTTTCGAGTGATAGAATGCATATCGAAGTTTATCTTCAGAGTTGCTTTTTTTTTTTTTTTTTTTTTTTTTTCCCTCTCTTTTTTTCAGTGGACGATTCAAAATGATTGTTTCTAGCTCTGGTGAACATAGTTCTGTACCTATTATCCATATATAATTTGATATATTTCAAATGATAAATGAAATCCTGAAATTTTATATCATCATTAAAATGATGATCATGCTTCCTGAAAGATGTGCTTCTGCCGTGCTGAATCAGTTACAGTAGTCGATTGATTAGTTTGTTCATTAAAGAAAATCTGGCGGAGGTTGCCTTTCTAAGGTATGGAATGCGTTCATGGAGGACTTCGTAAGGCAAATTGACGCGTATTTATACAAGGAAAGTCGCGAAAGCTCTATGCAAGGAGCCCGTTCTCCGAGACTGAAGTCCAGATTGAATTACCATCGTTTAGCAGTCCTACCTGCATGTTCATCGGATCAATAGACGGCAGAGTTAATAACTTAATTTTCGCAGCTAGCGTTTTTGGTGGTCAGATCAATTTGTAACTTGGGGGGAGGGACGTTTACGCAATGATGCACCTTCCCCCCCCCGAAAATTGTTTGCAAATTTGCGTGAGCACCAAATTCGAAGTGTTGTTTTTGCTGAGGCTGTAGTAAAGGATAAGCTTAAGTAAGTATACGGCAAGAATAAGATTGTCTTTTCGTTGTTCGTGCATCTAAAAGAACTCGCATAAAAATGTAATAGGTTTATAAACCTAATAGGTTTTTAATCATATCTCCCAGGGCCGTCAGTAGCCGAGCTGTAAAGTCGTTCGAACTGATAGTTCGATCTGGATTCCATTTCTGGTCGAAGCAGTGTCTTTTCGTTGTTCGTGCATCTAAAAGAACTCTCATAAAAAGTAAATAGGTAATAGGTTTATAAACCTAATAGGTTTTTAATCATATCTCCCAGGCCCGCCAGTAGCCGAGCTGTAAAGTCGCTGAAACTGGTAGTTTGACCTGGGTTCGATTTCAGGCAAGCGGGCTGGCTGCATAAGCGTTTTCGTAGCTTTTCCCTTGTGTTGCATAGATACAAGCCAGTTTTCCTTAGATCGTCCTCCACAAAGACATAATTTCCACAGAAATACACCATCAAATTTGGTCTCCCAGTTTTTTATGTTTTGTATTTTACTAAGGAAAATCACCATTTGATAATCCAGACATATCTTTATTACTTGTTAATTACTTCTATGGAATGCACAGCACAATAGGGGGTAATCCTCACCTCGTAATTTTCATTTCGACGCACTATATTTTTAATAATATATAGAAGCACCAGGCAAGAAACGTCCTTTAGTTAGCAAGCGTAGGCATTCCCAGCGATAAATGAAATTTATTGAATTAATGAAACTTAAATTATGAAAGTTCTGTTCGCCTTACCTTTCGTAATTTTTAGTATAATTTTTCTTATTAAACTTTTATTTGATCTGAATGAACTTAATCTGATGTAGACACTTGTAGAACTTTTTCTGAGAATTCAAGCAATGTTTAATCAATCAATATTCGTGTTTAATTTTGTTTCACTTATATGAACAATGCATTACTAAGTTTAGCCACACAGTAGTACGTACAGTAGCATTCACCCAGTAGTATTACTTTTATTTTTTTAGTAATGAAAAATTTCCTTCTCTGTTGAAGATTTTCTCGGTATAAAACTGTAAGAAAATTGTAAAATGAAATTAGCCAAAGAACGTAAAATTTAGAATATATAATTAGATATTAATATATTTTATATCAGAATCGTATAAATAATTCAATAACTGAGCCATGCGTCGTAAAGTGAATTAAGTCAATTTGGAGTTCTTTTGAAATGGTGCCACCGTACAACGATAAAAACCTCCTGAAAACTCCCGGTTATGGGCCCGAGAAACTCAGTTCTTCATATTTCGAAGTTGACAGCTAATTACACTTACAGGCAAAATCTGCACAGTTTTCATTTAGTTTTGTATATTACTTGACCCTCTGTGTTTTTAAATTTCAGAAAGAGAATCATTTGAAATAGTATCAATAATGTTGAATCACCCAGTATTTCTATATATTTTGTTTAGATAAATAGAATACTGGCGTATTTTTCATTAACTTGTGGTCCATAGAAATGATGAATTCTGCTAAGTAGGTTGAGAGTTTACTCATCATTCCCCGAACATGTGTCAGTGGATCACATTAAATTAAATTTACGATGGATTAAATCGTTCCTTCGTAGCGAATAGTCTGGATTTTCTGAATTCTTTTTAAAAACTGATGGGAGATTTTCTTTCGTATTAAATTTCTTTCATAATTTTTATTCCATAGCTATTCTTTAATGTTTTTAATTATGCTGTAGAAGTTTATATTCTGTGGTCTTTTCAAGCTTTTCTATTTTTAACTGAATTAAATTTTAAATTCCAACTTAAAACAATAATTTAAATTAAAAAAATTGAAGCAAACCCTAAACCATTAGTGGGCCTCTAATTTAGATACTGGTTCCGTAAAGAAAGTGTGATAACGTTTGTAAGGCAAAATAAAAAAAAAGTGGGGGGGGGGGCAATAAGAAACGCAACTATTTTTTAAATGCTAAGCACCAAGCAAGAAACGTCCTTTAGCTAGCCAAGCGTAGGCAGCAAACAAACAAACAAACAAACAAAAAGGCTTAGTTGGATCTTAGCGGTATTTATAATAAATTTTTTCGCTAATCTGGCTAAGAACTGTACGCAGTGGAGAAGATTAAAATGACATGATGTAAAATAAGTTTTTCAGAAATGATGCATTTTAGAAAAAGTTTTTACTATTTTTAGAATAGAAAGGAAGCAAGTGCTCAAATTAAAAAGAGGAATCAAGGGGATTAAAAATGAAAGATTTGATTAATTAATTATTCTTTTTAATTAATTACTCTAATTAATTAATTAGAGGAATCAAGGAATTAATTTAACCTATAGTTCATAATTACATATTTTTTAACTGTTGCTGCTCAGGATTAATACGAAAACCTTTCCGGCTGTAAGTACGACCACATCTAGTACGCGTTCCTTTTCCTCGCCTGCTGCTGCTTGATAAAACCACGGATCTCGCTTCGCTTTTTCTCTCTATTGTTTAAAATGGAAACTTCATTTATAGAAAGTGTGGGTGCGTTCAGTATTCTTAGAGTTGTACCAGTGTTAAGCAAAAATGTGTTTCTGAATAATTGTTTCTGTGCAAACTAAAAATATTTTAACTTTCAAGCCAATTGCGATTTTCGCACCAGTCGTCATCTAAGCAACAGTCTTCTCGGCCATGACTTATAACTGTGATGTTTTCTCTACTTTATTTTCTCTCACGACGTTTTCGTCTTGCGTTGCTTTCGGCAGACACTAGCTAGCGCACAGTTTTCAATAATTTAAGTGTTCGCTCACAGCTTCATACAAAACACTGCGTGAAACCCGAGAAAAATATCAGATAGTGACGCAGTCATAAAGCCTATATTCTGTTTCACTCGTTTCGTCAACTTTCTGCGCAGCCGAGCAGTAAAGTCGCTGAATACTGGTAGTTCGGTCCGAGGTTCGAATTCCGCGAACGGGCTGGCTGCATGGGAGTTTTCGTGGTTTTCCCCATGTGTAACATGTATACGAACCAGTTTCCCTCAGAAAGTTCTCCACGAAGGCATTCCTCCCCTCAGGCAGATAGCCCTCGAGCCTTTGCCATAATCACACACGTCAACTTTCTGCACCAAATCTTCAGTAACGACAGAAGGTCGCCCGCTTCGTTCATGATGAACATTCGTGCGGCTACCTTTAAAAGCTGTAATCCATTTCCATATAATTCTGTTGCTCCTAATGTTTTCTTTGTACACTTCACTAATCTGACGATGAATTTCAGCCGCTTTTACGTCTTTAAGCTCCAAGAAAACGAATCACCAATTGTATTTCGTAGTTGGCACAGCCATTTAAGTACTCAAAAGCGAATGTTAACACAGCCGAAAGTTTCCTTAATGGCGTGCCAACTGATGTAGATACACAGAGCGCATGCACAGAATGCCAACTGCAGCGCTGGTCGCCGGAATTTCAAAATACATTTTTACTTACTTTAAAAACATGCGTCCTATTATCCATGAGATATTCTTCAGTTAGACTATTTTTTTAGAATCGAACATGTATCCAGTCCTTTGGCTTGGATTCGAACCACCAGTATTGAATGATCTTACTGGTGGGACCATTAGGTCAAAATAAATTGTGCATAAGGAGAACCAAATTCTTTCTCTAAACCATGTTAAATCAGAAATATGTGTGTTTGAGGAAAAGGGGATTAACAGAACTGAGTGTGCGTTTTAGTCATAAATAATTCTTTTTTTTTTTAAATTTACTCTTATTACAGGTAAAGTTCTTTGTGAAACCTGTAAAAAGGAATGTGTTGGAAGCGTTTTAAAAGTCCAAAACAAGTATTTTCATGTGGAATGCTTCAAGTGTGTGGGTGAGTTCATAAAATTTAATTTTCCCTATTTTGAATTAGTGTTGTTATTTTTCAGGCATTCTATCTAAATGTACTTAATATAATTTATTATCATACTTTTAGTAACAGACCGTACGTAATTCAGTTTACAACAGATTTGATTATAAGGGGAACTATTAATGATGATGAAATGTATTTTCACTTCATAATGTAATAAATGTATTTCATATTTAATAAATATATTTTCATTTCACTTTCATTTACAATAATAGTATACTTTATATATTTTTAGTGTGTTCATCATCGTTAGCTCACGGAGGATTCTTTTTCAAAGAAGGATCATATTATTGCACTGCAGATTATCAAAGAATGTTTGGAACAAAATGTGTTGCTTGCAATAATTTTGTAGAAGGAGAAGTTGTTACGGCATTAGGAAGCACATACCATCAAAAATGCTTTATTTGTGCTAGATGCCAGTAATATTATTTATTAATTTTATTTTTTATAAAATTTCAGTTAATTTTGTGAGTCTTTGATGACATGTGTATTTATTTATTTTTTCCCCCCCATTAACAGTCAGACATTTCCACCTGGAGAAAAAGTTACGTTTACTGGTAAAGAATGTCTTTGCATTAGATGTATACAAATTCCTGTTATTACTTCTCAGGTTGTAGAATCCCCTATAAATACCACACGAAGTGAGTGATTTTCTATCCCTCCCTCTCTTTTTCTTCTTTTTTTCAGTCTGGTTTTAATGGTTGCTTTCATTTTTAGAATGTTTAATGGTCATTATTTTTGTCTTCTGATTTCATTTTTTTATTTTATTTATGACATTATTTCTCTTCATTTGCCCTGTTTATATATCAATCTTGTTTATTGTAAGACATCTTAAATTGGGTATTGTATTTTTATGAATCATTTTCTGACAAGCATTACTGATTTCATTGTATTATAGGGTGTGGAGGATGCAATGAAGAGCTGCAGGAAGGACAAGCTCTTATTGCTCTAGATAAGCAGTGGCACATATGGTGTTTTAAATGCTGTACGTGTGGTACAGTTTTACATGGAGAATATATGGGAAAGTTAGTATAATTTTGTTCTTCGAGTGTTTATAAATGAATGTTAAAGTATGCTTTGTAGGATGTTTGCTCCATTTTTCAAATGACATTTTTTTCCATACCTGCAATTTGTTTAATGCTGATATATATGCATGACATTGGTAGATGGAAAAGGAGAAAGGAGTTTTGGCATGTACGTCTTATTAAAATGTTTATGAAAATGTGTAGATTATTATTGTATTAAAAGGTATTTTATTTACATCATATTGTATTGAATTTCAAAATAAATCCTTTCTAATGTGTTTTGCACTGCAGTTTAATCAAATAGCATGGAAGAAAAAGATTTACTCTGAAATTCAGAGAAAGAATCATAAAGCTATTCATGGTAAAATACCTTTCAACTGTCAGCAAAGGGACCAGGAATTGGAAAACATTATTTTCGGAATAGAATGGGTTTGCAAGCATTATGAGAAATGATATCTCCAGTATACATCAGATAAAGAGAAGCAGGATTTATTAAATTCCAGCTGCAATGAAAAACTGAAATATTTCAGCATGACTTAACAACTAGAAGCAGCAGCATGGCATTACCTCATTTCCATTTGAAAGAAATTATAATTAAATTTGAAGATAGAAAAATCGGGATTGTAGACTCTTACAATACACCCTTAATCAGTGAGTCAGTCAAAAAATTACCAAAAGATATGCAATACCTTCATATCTGTTGAATTCTTATCATATTAGTGACTAGAAACAAGCGCTTCAAACTAAAAATTATTTCAGAAATGCTGTCTGAGGGATTCACATGGGATCTTACTGAAATAGCTGAATTAATATCATCATTTTACAGTTCTTTCCCCCATTTAATTTTATGAAGATAATAGTTTAAGCCATAAGAAGAAATATTAGAAAAGTTTGGCTTTTTAAAAATTCTGCTTTCATTGACTGGCTCTCAAAAACTGAAGAATTGTGAAAGCAAATTTTTATTATGAGGAATTTATTTTTGTAGAATTGATGCTGTAGTATACCTAGGATTAAAAAAGTCTGTGATAAAGCAGGTGTTTAAAGTATTAATATTGAACAATATATATGTATTTATACATTGCAGGTTTGTAGAGTTCATTATGAAGACAGCTTATCATGATATAAAGTTATTAGGACTAGCCTTCCACAGAAAGCTTCTTCCAGGTGTGTTCTGTTTAACATATACATAAATAGTCTCATAATTGGGAGAAAAAAAAAAAAAAAAAAAAAAAAAAAAAAAAAAAAAAAACAGTGTTAAATATTTACTGGAGTTGATGATCTGATCTTCTGCACTGGGATTTCCAAATTTCACACAGAAGAACAGTCAGAGCTAATTCTAAATCAAGCCTTAAAGACTTTAGAAGACTAGTGCTATACTCATAATATGGAAGTTAATTTAAAAGTGTATCAAACATTTTCACTTACTCATCAGCCTTTGCAGTTAGATGTTTTACATCAGCATTCACCAGTGCAGGTAACCAACAGCTTTCAAAACTTGGGTGTGGTTTTCGACCGTAAATTAGCTTTGAAAGAGCATGTTGAGATGATTTTAGAATGTGCTACTAAGAGGTTAATCTTAATGAAGAAAACTGCTAGATCTAAATAGGGTTGTTCTAGAACCACTCTTGATTTGACATATAACTCCTATGTTCTACCTCTTATTACTTACTGTTGTTACCCCTTTTCGCAGCATTTTTAAAAAAATTTCCAATGGCAAATTGTGAACAATTACAAAGAAAAAAAAAGAGAGAGAGCAAAGAACACAATATAAAAAAGAAGCTGTAGCAGAGTTCATTAATCTAACATATCTCTTGGCTCCCAGTAATGCTCGGCGAGAAGAGTCTTGCGCAAAGCAAGACAGTGGAGAAGACGTGCGCCGTCCATCACCTCTCCAGAGCTGCACAGAGTGCATATCGGAGAAGGAACAATTTTGAATCTATGGAGATGATATCATAGACAATCATGTCTGGTGGCAAGGCGGAATTAAGCGACCGCTGTATGCCTTGGACCATTACACAAGTTCGGGATAGCATTCTTCCAAAACTTATGAGAAACATGATGTTAGAGATCTTCCTGAGCACGTACTTGGAAAGCTCTTTTAATAAAATCCCTAACAGTATGGAAAGGCATAGGACGAGAAATATTCTGCATGATTAAAGCACCCTTTTTTGCCAGGAAGTCAGCTTCCTCGTTACCTGGAACCCCACAATGGGCAGGAACCCACTGGAGGACTATAGTTTTCTCGAGTGATACCAGGTTTTTTAGATAATGTCAACAGTCCAATATGTCCTGTGATATGGATTTTTATTTGAAATGGTAGCCAACAGAGCAGCTCGGGAATCACTGAGGATAATAACTCTTGTGAATTGTTCCAAGTGGCATGGCAGCTGGTACAGAGCTGTGCGAATCGAAGCAATTTCAAATACTTCGAGAGCGAGTGCTCTTAAAATAGAGGGATCCATATTACTTTTGGTTACTTTACTTTTGTTGACCTAGGTCAAGATTGATCCAGGAAGATTTCAAATTTATTGTATTTTGTAGTGGAACAAGTAATTCTGATTCATTCATTAAACCAAGTGAATTTTTTAACTGAAAAACTCCCTGTAGAAAGCCCATCTGGGTCATCAGCTACTAACAGATTTCTAGTCAGATCTTAATTGACTTCATTCCAGAGTGAAAGACATGCAGGATCTCTAATGATCTTTTTCCCAGAGAATTAAGGCCTTCTCTTGAACTATGGTTTTTAAGGGTTTTTCACCAATTAACATAAGCATGGCGTCAATTGGGGTGGTCCTTACGGCACCAGAAACAATACATAAGCACTGATTTTGGATATTTTTTCTAGAGTACATTTTCCCCGGCCACAACAAGTGGTTCACAGCAGTAAGTCAGAAGGGGAAGGATAAACGAATGATAAGTTTGAGGCTGGGTTTGTTCATTGCAACCCTACTTTGCCTCAGCAAAGCATTTAAGGATGCTGAGTCTCTTGAAACACTGTTGGACAAGTCCTCTATATGTGGCTTCCATCTTAGTTTGCGGTCAAACGTCACACCCAAATATTTACATTTAGTGCACAAGGGGATTTAGATGCCCTTATATGTCAGCTGAAGGTCCAAAGATTGGTGCATATGTGAAAAAGGTCAGGCAGTATAATTTATTTAAGTTCACATCCATATTATTAGTATCACACCAAACTTCCAAAGCGTTCAAGGCAACAGAGAGTTTAGTCTCTATATTTCTCACTGCACTTTCGTTTTTAGAAGCTGTCCAGAAAACCAAATTATCAGCGTATAAGAGGCACTTGACGCCAGAAATTTCAGCTATTTTAGAAATCAGATCATCAATATAGATGTTAAAAAGCTAACAGCTCCCTGTGGAAAACATGTTTTTAAGATCTTAGATTTCGATAGTTCGTTGCTGTACCTGACTCTGAAAGAGCGCTGGCACAGGAAGCCTCTAATTCAATTAAAAATATTTGCTCTAATGCCTAGCCCTGACAATTTCAGTAGAAGGTTGTCCCGCCATACTTTGTCATAGGCAGACTTGAGGTCAATAAAAACTGCTGTCAGGACCTGTCTGTTATCCAGGGCATCCTTGACAAATTGATTCAGGAGGGCAACATGTTGGTTAGTAGATCTGTAGCTTCTAAACTCTGCCTGCTCCTTGGCAAGACGTCCGCAAGTTTCCAAGTAATAATTAAGTCTTCTCACAATTATTTTCTCCATAGCCTTCCCCGCAATACTAGTAAGTTGTATTGGTCTGTAGTTACAGAGACTATCACGATCTTTGTCTTTCTTATGTATGGGAATAATTATAGAAGTTTGCCATTCTGCTGGTACAATACCAGTGTTCCAAATTAAATTGAAAAAGATTGAAATGGTCTCAAATGCTTTAGGGCCAAGATCGGAGAAACTTGGAATGGTATCCATCTCCACCAAGTGATTTACCACAAAGAAGGCTTCTTAGAGCATAGGTCAGTTCGTCTCGAGTAATAGGTGCCTCAAAAACTGAATCAGTAGAAGATTCAAATGCCTCTTGGCAGCATCTAACCAAGTGATTGATACACTCGAAAGATTTCACAACCAAGCTCTCCGACTTATCACTAGTGCTATTAAAACCTCTCCTGTTGATGCACTTTCAATAGCTACACACCATGTATGCATTAAATTCATTCTGGAAGAGAGAGCACTAATCCTTTATGAAAAAAAATTATGATCACCAGACCGCCAGAACCCAGTGGAACTATTGACGTTTATCAACAAAGAGAAGACCTTATAACTTAGAATGGTTTTTCTCAGGCAGTCTTTTCTGTCAGACAGCATCTTGGCCTTAGATGGGAAACTGAAAATTTTCTGAAACCTTAATGTCCAGCTGATAAAAGAAATATATAGCCACACTTAATGTGTTACATGAAATCCTCAAATAAGAAACAAATGATGAAATTTTAAAAATTTCTCGTTGGAAACCATTGATGCTTTATACTCATAGATTGAATTGCCACATGTGTTTATGGATGGCTCTGTGTTGGCTGATAGTATTAATTCAGGCAGTGTTGCCAGATCATGAGATTTTTCGCAAATTTGCAACTTTTGACAAACTTGTGCTACTGAAATTTTAATATTTGCGAAATTTTTGCGACATTCATTTTTTTGCTACTTTTGCGACTTCAAAGATTTAATTTAATATAGCGCAAAATGCTTTTATGCTCAATTAAAAATTTATATTAGAAAAACAGTTTATTTATGCTTAAATAGAAGTTGGCATTTGGCAATCTGATTTGCATGTAAGCTTTACTGTACAAGATTGCACAGCCTGACACTGGCATAATGAGAAAGGGGTAGGGAAAGTGAAAAAAAGTGGAAAGAAAAAAAAAAAAAAAAACAAAAAAAAAAAAAAAAAAAAAAAAAAAAATTCGGGTCCTCTCACAACCCTCCCTTGTGCGAAGTCATCCCCCCAGTTCTATGGTGATAATGAATCAAACCAAAGAAGTTGCAGCTCGTGCACCACATATTGGGTACCCAAACAGAGAAAGAAGTGAAATTCATACTCCTGATTGTAATATTACTAAAAACTAAGCAATGGAAATGACTTGAAAATCAAAGCAACAGCATTTTTCTAAATAACACAAATTTACCAGTGAAAGAATAAGACTTAAGTAATTAGAATCTGAAACAGATCCACCACACAGAATGGGAAACTCGCTGAAAAGCGTTCCTCAATTAAATGGTTCACAATTAATCAAAAAAAATTAATTAAAAACTTAATTGCCAACTAAAAAAATTTTACACTACAGGAAGTACAAAAGTATTTACAGTCGGGGTACAAAAGCGCTAACAGTCTAAACGTGAGGAATCTATTAAAATTGGATATCCGCAAATTTTAAAATAGAAACCTAAGTGAGAATTCATTAAAAAAGAAATGAATATTTAAACAATTGAAAGTGAGCAATATAGTTTTGAAATATTTGTTAAAGCTTAGATACATAATTAAAAAGACTAACAATTAAATACAGTTTGTAACTTACAGAACCAATAGACGGTAAATTTGTGATGACATCAGAGGTCATATGAGCATGTGAAACTACTGTGACAAAAATCACGTGGTCTCTGATGTCATTTGTGATTTTTTGCAACTTTTGAAAATTTTCTGGCAACACTGAATGTAGGTACTGCCGTCTTTTGCAAGCTTTTCTCATTTTACACTCCTGCAGGAAGGAATAGGACTGCTTTTGATGCTGAGATTATGGCCATATGCATAGCCTTATCCCAACTCCAATGACACCTTGAACAATTTTCAAATGTTGTCACACTGTGATTCTAAAGCTGCTGTTCTAGCCATTTCTTCTTTTGAACCACCAATGTCTGTTGATGTTTTAAAATGCCAGCAGATACTAAACAGCTTAGCTCAGGATGGCAAAGAAGTTGCCATGCAATGGATGCCATCACACTGTGGTCTTCATGGAAATGAAGACCTCTAGTGGTAGCTTGCAGCTCACATGAGAGTTGTGAAGCTATAACAGTCCTGTGTCACCATGCTGAAAGTGCCAAATAGCGATCATCGTTCATTGTTGTGGATCTTGATCGGCCTCGTCCAGGTCTTCTCGATATGGATCCAGTGTCCTGAAACTGTTTCCACAAATTTCAGATGACCTGGTTCTTACATTAAATTCTGTAGCCACTTGAGTTTGTGACTAGCCTTTCTCCAATCTACCTGCAATTCTCCATCTCATTCTGTATGTTCATGGCTACTTATTTTACCCAATACCTTATAAAATTGACTCTTCTGAGAAACATGGCAAATGTCGTGAAGGAGTACAAGGACACGAATTGCTCTAAACCACTCATTTATTTATATCCTCTTCACAATCACAGCTCCACAGACTTGCATGTGTATGCTTACATATTTGACTGAACATTTGCATAATTAGTGCCTTTGATTCAATGCTGTTCACAAAAATGGGCATAATTTGCAAATTCTCTTAAATTTGTTGATGTTTGTTGTCTCACATTTGGCAACATCTACACATTGCCTAAAATGCATGCCTTTTTCATGTTCATTTTTAATCACAAGCAAGGCTGGGTATGATTTGCAGAGACTGCTAAAGGTAATCATTTAATTAAACATATATCTTTTTCCCATAAATAAAACGTGTGTGTAGACAAGTACATCTTCATTCTTTACTCTAAAAGAAGTTGCATGAGGATGCTTCTGCGATATATCTTCATAAATAAAAAGCCAAAAAGATGAATTCCCCCCCCCATGTGTTGTGATGCATAGATGAGTTGTCAATATTTTGTACAGGGTATGTTCGTAATTCTTATAAAAACCTTAAAATGTTTGATAATTGTGCGTTAAAAGCAAGTAACTAACATGATTATGAAGTTGGTTATTATGCAGTGATTATTTAGGTAACTAAGAAAAGTTTTCATAATGTTAGATATTCAGCTCTCTCTCTCTCTCTCTCTCTCTATATATATATATATATATATTATTTATTTAGTTGTAGATAACTTGATATTAGATGACAGCTTGATAAGAGAATACACCAATTCACTTTTTAATCATGGCTTAGAAAACAGCTGCACATTTGGCTGGAAACTGCAGTTTAGTGGATGACTGGATGGAATTTTGGAAGAAGCTTGACCAGCTTGGCAGTTAAATATCATTTATTTTTGGACAACGAATTTCTTAGCACATATTTTCTTAATTGGTAGAAGAACAGGAGTGCAAAACGTGCTCACAATTATAGATACGCAGTTTACATTTTATGTAATGGAGAATCACTAGCAGAGGCTAAGTGACACATTGCCAGCAGGAAGACAAAGTAGTGAAAGACGATCTCTAGGTAGGTAGTTGTGGTATTTTTATAAGTTTGGAAAGTCTTTGTTTTAATCTGGGCAGCGATTGGGAAAAAAGTTTACGGTATGCGTGTACTCCAGGGAAAATGCAGATTTCTTGATAGTGTTGTACTTTAACAAAAAATTAGTAATTTGAAGGTACACTGTCACTTTGTTCCAATGAAGTTTAATTTGGATATAAATTTTTCTCCATATTTTTATATGTTACACACACATATACATATACAGATATATACATATTCAAAGATATACATATACAGATATATATACAGATGGAGAACAAAATAATACGAACACATGTGAAATAATGGAAAATCTTTATTAATGGGGGGTTGGACCACCCTTTGACTGAAGTACAGATTGAATGCGATGTGGGATAGGTGCATAAAGGTCATGGACAATATTTAAGGGAATGTCAAGCCATTTCTCCTGCAGAGCGGTCTCTAATTCCTAAAGTCCGGATGGAGGTGGAAATCGGGATCGAAGTTTGGACTCCAAATATGCCCATAAATGTTCAATAATATTCAAGTCCGGAGACTGAGGGGGGCCAAGCGAGATGTTCAATTGCATCAACATGCTCTTCGAACCATTCTTGAATACACCTAGCAGTATGGATAGGGGCGTTGTCGTCTTGAAAAAGCGGTCGGTCCACAGGGAATACAGTCTGGTCAAAAGGATGGACATGATCCTCCTAGAATGCTTAGATAGTGATTGGATGTAATCCTCCCATATAGAATAGCAAGTGGCCCAAGACCACACCAAGATATCACACCCCATGCTTCACAATCAGAAACAGGTAGTCGGCATCAAACGCTTCTTTGGGTGTTCTCCAGACATAAACGCATCCGGTCATCTGAAATAGGGGGAATTGCGATGAATCTGACCATATTACCTCTTGCCACTGCTGTGGGGGGCCAGCCTTTGTGATCTCTGCACCATTGGTGGCGCTTGAAAGCATTAGTTGTTGTCACCAATGGTTTACGAATTGCCACTCTGCCATAAATGTTCACAGCATGAAGTTCCATTTTACAGTTTTTGTTGAAACAGGGCTCTGGAGATGACTGTTCATTTTGGATGTTATCTCGGATAATGATTGCTTGTGCTTTCTGGCTACTATGTGCTTCAAGACCCGTCTATCCCTATCAGCAAGCTTTGACTTTCGGCCACTGTGCTTTGAAAACGTTGTTTTACCCTCTTTCGTGTACGCTGTCATAATGGCTGATACCCTACTCCTTGCACACTCCACAAGGTTTGCTGTTTCCATAACCGATGCTCCATTTAAATGCGCTCCAACTATCATTCCTCTTTGGAACTCTGACATTTCAACTTGTCACAGACAGTTCGATCGGAGCTTGCAACGCAGGTGACTACTGTTGAGAGACTGATACCTTCCTCTTCTTGCTCACTAGGTGGCGGGCTTCTGTTGCAGGTGGTGCGGCTGTACTGTAGGTGTAAAATACATCATACTTTTTCTCAGGTGTTCACATTATTTTGCCCTCTATCAGTATATATATATATATATACAGGTTGTTTAGCAAATTGGTTACAAATTTTCAGGAGAGATAGAGTACTCGTAGAGGATTGAATATCATATAACATATATATTGCATCATGCACGAACCGTTCATCATGCATCATCCATGCGATCTTCCATATGTGATGCAGATCTTTCATGAACTGGAGATGTGAGGCCTGCATTTTGGTATGGGGTCATAATTCTGAACATCTTCATTAATGACAATAGTTGTCTATTTTTGTTCTTACTTATTTCTGGATTTCTGTTGTAGTAAGCATAATAAACATGTTTTCTCACCCTGTTCATGTTCTTCCTTTCTTGTGTTTTGTGCTGTTATGCAAGGAAAGCATTTCCGACCATGCATTGCTGTATGAGTTTTCATCATGTAGGAGTACATTTTCTCCTGAAAGTTTGTAACTGATTTCCTGAAACACCCTGTATATATGAATATTATATTGAACACACTGAATGCATTAAAAGCATAGAAAATGCCTCTGAGAAAATCCCGATAAGTTTTACTGAAATGCATATTTTTAAAGTTCACAGGTTAAATGTGTGACAACATTCTGATGTTAAATGAAGATCAGAAGAATCATATTGCAATTAGTTTGATCTTGATCCTTTTTGTCGCCAGTTTTATTTAGTGTGCAGTGAGCTGACTGTGTAGGTGCTTTCTTGAGTTCCCTTGTGCATAATATAAATATAATCTCGTTTATATTAAGACTTTTAAAATGCAAAGTTGCTAAAACATTCTCTCATACATAAGTATAAGAAATTATTTGCTAAATTAAGCATTTACTTTCATATTTTGTGTTTTTTAAATGCTTAAGTTATGGAAGACTTTTGTTTCATGTTAAATTTTCCTTTTTTATTTACAGAGATGGGCAACCATATTGTGAGAAAGATTATCAAAAGCTGTTTGGCATAAAATGTGCACACTGTGATAGATTTATAGCCGGAAAAGTTTTACAGGTAAAAAGTATTTAACTAGTAATATATTCCCACTCATTACTTGCACAGACAAGATTATTTTGAAACATTTCTAACCTTGATTAATTCATCTTTCTTAAATAATCTTGCGTATACTTTACAGGCAGGTGAGAATCATCACTTTCATCCATCATGTGCTCGTTGTTCCAAATGTGGTGACCCATTTGGTGATGGTGAGGAAATGTATTTACAAGGTTTGTGTTCTTGCTGTTCATAAAATTAAAATGCATAAATGTTTAAAATTTGGATTTGCAGGCACTCAAACAAATGAACAAACAATTGTTTGCATAGAAGACAAGAATCTTCAAGTAGAATTGAAGGCCTTTTAAAGAAACTATGCTAAAATCTGCACAACTATTTTTGCATTTCTAATTTTGTTAAAGTACTTCTTTTGGAGGAGAAATTCATTTAAATATTACATTGAAAATATTCATATGTAGAATTTTCCCTTGGTAGCAATCCTGACAGCTCTGTAATTTCAACATCTTTTTTTCCCCATTGGAATGAGTTGAATACCTGTCAAACTGGTAGAGTTACAATTCTGAATAGTATAACCACATCTCTTCTGATCAGAAGCTTTCTCTGTAATTGACTAGTGTGGCTGCATTTAGGTAAAAGCACTAATGTCTTTTCTGAACATAAATTTTCTGGTTTTGACAGCAGGAACAAAGCATTAATTATATTATGCAAAAGGAAATAAATTTCTTGGTGGTGCATCATTATCAATATAATTATTTCAAATTGTTCACAAATGTAGCAGGATACAAGATTCAGCCGGAGTTGAATCTTGTATAATTAAAAATATATATTAAGTTTTAAATAAATAAAGTTTGAAATATGTGTCTTTTCAGTTTGCCTTTAGAATTTTGGTAGCATATCTGTGTATTGCTGTGGCAGACTACTTTTATGAATTAAGCTGCTTCTTGTTCTCCTTTTTGAGAATATTCTTCATTTTGTGAATTCTCACTGAATAAGGGTAAATGCACACTGCTGCAGGCAAAAATATTTGACACGTGGTTGTCACAAGTATGTTACCAACAGGTAGAAGAAAATTCTCTCTCATAACATGCACCTTTCATTAGAAATGCAGGTACAGCATGAAAGTGGTGACTTACTGATGTGGCTTGTGGCTATTGTTATTCCTTGTTGGCCAGTGAATAAAAAATTTCTTTTAGTAAAATTTAGTGTAAGATGCAGCAAAGTTTGAAATTTAGCAGAAGTTCTGGAGCATCTGTGTCTCAGATCCTTGACATCAAGTACGTAACTGTTTTGTCTTTTTAAGGCATTATCATGCTCATCTGTTTTGATTGTCAGAAGGAGTTGATTCCTCTTATAAAAGTGTACCAGTGCTTGAATGGATAAGGCCACCGAATGCTGATATTTATCTCTGGTTCAATTCCAAGTAGCTTAATAGGCTGACTCCACAGAGTTTCTCTATGTTTCTAACCTGTAGAAAAATAAAATTGCTGAACAAATCTCTTTTTATAACATAATCGTTTATGGAATATTGTAAAAGTTCACGATAAGCCAACTTATATTTGTATAATAAAATTGGCAGTAAGTGATTATTATGCACACTCTTTGAATTACGGATTATTATTTGGCATTATATCATAATTTATGCTTACCCTGCACCAGCATGGGATTAGCACTGTAGATAAAATTAGTGCACAATATTCAAATTACCTGGTGGTGTGATGTGTAGGAAATGAGTTCACCTATTGGATATAAACTATTGATAACAAAAAGGTCCATTTATTTTTCTAATAAAGCTTATGAAAAAAGGAAAAATAATATTGTAAAGTAATGTGCAGTATTTTCATACTAAAGCAATATATATATATATATTTGAAAATGTTGTTTCTGGATATTTCTTGCCCAGTCTAGGTAAGCAATTATAGGTAATGATCATTCGCAGACTGTACATATATAAATAGTATTTTTGTGTACTGTTTTGGAAGAACATTTTTTGCATGGCTTCTTCTGATCTTTAAATGTTTTCCGTGCAAACGTTTAGTGCATGGTTACCTTCACCATGATCATGCAGAGCAGGGTTTCTTAAACTTTTTTCAATTGTGACCCTTTTTAATCATTGAGCTTTCTTTGCGACCCCCAGGACTCCATAATATTTACAAAAATTTTGTGGACCCCATAAGTATTGCGCAAATCTGACACGCTCGGGAGTGAAACTGTCAGTTTTTTCAGTTGTACTGTACTATTACAGTTTTAGGTCATTAACTTTAATTTTAAGATAAGGATAATGCAAGGAAAAGGCAACAGTAGCTTTGACTCTCGAGCAGATCTCCAAAAAGGCTAGTGGTCAGAGCCATTGAGGTACCTTTTTTGGCTAAGGCATCAACCATTTTGTTACCACTGAGGCAAATATGTGAACAGATCCATTGCAGACGTACACTGCGAAAAAAAATTGGAACAGTTCTGTATCTCCCGTTCTACTGGGCTGATTGACAAAATTCAAACTGCGTTTTTCATGTTTCGAAAGCGCGACTTAGGATATGTAGATTTATATATAGCGTTGTTGTAATATAGGTATTTTGACAAAAAATCGGACTTTGTCTGAAGTGACATGCCAATTGTTTTCCATATTTCGATTGTATGACTTAAATTTTGCCAAACTGCCAAGTTTTGTAAAAATCGCATGAGTAGTTTTTAAAAAATTAGCTCTCAAAATTTTAGCTCCTCAATGTTAGTTGAATTTGATATATATTTATTAATATAGCTGTTTTTTATTAAACTTACTTGATTCCTTCTTCCAGAATTCGAAATTTAGGCTTAATCCAAATATAATTCGCACATTTTTTTTATGATTTATTTTTAAAATTTGTGTTTTTAAATATTTTTTATAAATTTTCTAAAAAAAATTTTGTATTATAAAAAAAATTTTGTACTGTAAAATTTTTAACATCATCTTAAAGTAGAATATATTTCTATGCACACCTGCCAAAAAAAATTAGAGTTTTTGTATTCAAAATTTTCTAAGATCTACATGAATTTACATAGTGGAACATTTTGAAATTTGGCACCTTTTTTTTTTTTTTTTTAACTATAATAACACCAAATGAAAATACACACTTTGATAAAATTATTTGAAAGTATGAACGGTGACTTATTTTCCGCTCGTCTACAATGAAAAAAAGAAAAGAAAATAAGTTGCTATAAATTAAGAAGTTTGCCAAGTAAATTATTCTTGGCGAAAACTGAAAAAAAAAAAAAAAAAAAAAAAAACCACCAAGATACATTTTTGAATTTCTCTGTAAATTTCGCAACAAATGTTAAAAAATTTAATATTTTGGCATAATTTGAGTGGTAGAATCGAAATATGGAAAAAAATATTGGCATGTCATGCCAGAAAAAGATTGATTTTGTGTCAAAATACCTATGTTAGATGCTATGTTATGATGCTATGTATAAATCTAATATATATATAGTATATATACTAAGTCGCGTTTTCGAGACATGCAAAACGCAATTTCAATTTCGTCAAACGGCCCAGTAGAATGGGAGATATAAAGCTGTCTCTTCTTCTTCTTCTTCTTCTTTTTTTTTTTTTTTTTTTGCACAGCATACATTATGATGGGAAGAGAGTTTTTGCAGGAAACCCAAAATAGACAGTGAAGTCTTATCAGTAAATATGAGGTCAGTTTTGCAGATGCTGGATAGAACTGTAACTGTCAGTTTACATATCTCCATGAGCTGGACATAATTTCAGTCTGAAGGCCACTATTGCACATGCATAACTTGAGATCTATCTCATCAGAGTTTTAGACCTACCATTTAACCCCAAGTTTTAGATCACCCAGGGTCTACTGATTAAACATTTTATTTAATCTTTCTTGAAGGCAAATCGGAAAAAAGTCAAAGCGGTGAATATGACACTAACATATGCAATGAACAGTAGTTCATAGATTGCAAAGCCTTTACCATCCCTGCTATATTTGTTTGTCTGCAAACTGTCATTTGTACTAGAAGATGATCAACATGCTCTTAGGTAATTTATATTGCTTAGGTCATTTAGTATGTAAATTCTATTAGAACATTAACTATTTTAATTTTCCTTCTGGAAGCTTCTTTAAAAGTGTATGCAAAATATTCAATTTTGATGCAATTCAATTTTGAAGCCTGTATAATATTCATATGCAAGGTTTGTATGATTTGTTTGTAACATTTACATTCACCTTTATATTTTGTGTGATTTGTAACATTTACCTTTATATTTCAAGGAGGAACTATTTGGCATCCAAGATGTGGACCTGGACCTGACAGCCAAATTGATGACAGTGATTTAGAAGATTCAAAAAAAGAATTCTCACTTGATGGAACTCAGGTCAGATAGGTATATTTTTTAGAAAAACAAAAATTATATTTGTGCAGTAATAGTCTGTATATTGATGGGTAATATTTTCCAAGACTTACTACCAATACATGAAACTGCGGATAACAGAAAATCTAAACAGAGTAGTCAGGCGACATATAGGACCACTGTATTGGTGCTGTAGACTGAGCTGTGACTGTGTTGTAGTGTGCATGCTACTGTTGTGTACTTTTTCCTAAATGGGAAATCAAGGTGCTTCTTAAGCTGTGCTGTATTGAAATAATTACATGATTATTATTAGCAGCTTGAGACTTATAGAATAGATCCTAAAAACATCTTATCTGAAAGAACATTTATGGGATGGCCTGGGATACTGTCTGTGACAACTGTACCCTTTACTGTGCATAGTTATTGATCCCTCTTTGCTGCCATTCAGTTTTTTTATGAGTTCATGCCATATCATATATGCCATGGATGTTGACAAAAAGTTGAACCTAGTCACTAATAAGCAGGAGATTATAAGCAGGTATACAGAAGTATTTAACATACTTTATATGTGCTTACTTTTTTTAATCTAATGTGAGAGAAGCTTCCATATTTTAACATTTACATTTAAATTGTATTCTGTTTCATTTATGTATAGTAATGTGCACTTTTGGTTAAGATGTAATTAAATATGCAAGTTTGTCTGTGCTTTTGATACTTGTAGAGATGACATGAATTATTATGTGAATTTGTTTTGAACTTGAATTCATTTTTATTTATATTTGAAGAGCTTATTTTGTGTTTACCCTAGATAAAGTACTTAAACATATTTTATGCTCTAATTACTTTTTTAATCATTTAAATTGAAGAGTAATTAATTTGTATTTTATAAAGAAAGGTGATTAGAGACATTATGGAAAGAGATAAGTAAGTCATGCCTGTGCTTAAAAGCTTATTATTATATCTTTATGCAGTTTTATGACAAAATCTTGGAATCAGACTGCTTACAGGCATTGTTGAAATTACCACACTGAGCTTGCCAGAAACATTCACTTTAAATTTGAAGTGTTTTAAAATTTTTCTTTTCCTAATTTTTAGTGAATGACAGTTTTTGAAATGTGATTGATACATTTTCTAATTACAAATATTGGTAGCTTGGGTTTAGTTAAAAAGTATCTTTTGCACTTTGATTGCATTTACGACAAAAACTTTAGCTTTGTGTTCTTGCCAAATACACTGTAGGCTTTACATGCTAGTAAACTTTTTCCTCATATTTATAGCTTCTGTCAATGATGCATGATTAATAATTTCTAACTGCACCAAAAGACATATTTACATGTTCTTTTCATATAACAGTAATAAATAATAATCCCTATAATAATTAAAAAATATAACAAAAAATAAAAATCATAAATCTTTCCTAAGTTTAGAATTTATCTAACTTATGATAGTTTTCAAAACAAGGCACTATATATAATACAGGTTGTAATGCTCATGTTTAGCACAGATACCCTCTTTCTCACCAAATCTGGTGCAAATTGCAGATGATACATTTCTATGTTGGCATAGCTTAAGTTGATATTGTTTTGTTCCTGTCATTGTAGCCTTCCATTCACGACATATCAGATTTATGGTAGATGAAATAATTTCTAGGAACTGGTGTATCCTTGCATTCATTAGAACTTATTAGTGAATGCATTATTTCCTTTTGAAACCAACTCTGGTATATAAAATATACAAGATGTATCTAAAGGTGCCAATACACCTTTTCAATATTATTTTAGGAATTTCTGCAATGGTGAAGTAATAGGAGGGAAGTCGATAAATTCTGTCATTACCACACGTCTTCATTTTAATCTAGAATATAATTAGGTTTAGTGATGGACTCCCCTTCTCAGTTCTTTTTTATTTAAGGTCATAATTTTACCTGAATGTTCAATTACATTCAAAAGGACATTGCATTTAATTTGCCATTTATTTATGACTGCATGATGCTTCCTGTACGAGACTGTTTTGCCTCATTTTAGCTTGTGTTCTCATCATCTTTGAGGAGCTATTTCTTGTTTGAGTGCAAAGTTTAGCATAATTTTGTCTTATTTTTGAGGAGCTTATTTGCCAGAGTAATACACGTGTAATAATTATCTGTGTAAAGTACGTGTCTTTTGTTCAGATATTTCTTCATGAAAGGTATTACTACGCTTTCTGCATGACCTAAGCCAGACATAGGATCTAACGTACCACAATACACAAGCACTTTCCATGCTTGTATATTGTACTTTCCATGCCTATTTATTCCAACATTTTTCTGTCTGAAACACTGAATTAATTTGCATGTGAATGACAAAGCACTATGTTATTTTATTATAATGCCATCAGAGTTCATATCTTGAATTTGTTTTCCCATGGTCTTGCTTACATTGTATTGCTAAATAAAAATTTATATGTGCTGTCAAGTAAAATTTAGATTTCAGTTAGTTCATAACCACTCAAATAAATAAAGTTTTTAAACTGTACATGTGCTGTTTGCCCAGAATATTTTAACAGAGAAGAAATCGGTGCTACAAAACTTTCAACTTATCTATTGATAGTTTCTTACCTAGTGTATAATTGTTTTAAAAATTATCCAGGAGATCATAACAAGTCTTTTGCAACTTGTGCAACCTATTCCTGTTGGCATCTTCATTATTGCTAAAGTGCCAAGACTTTAGTGAGAGCTCAGATTGGTCTCTTGCCATTGTGTCACCAAACATTTGTTTTGCTAACACTGAATCACTTGACCAGTAATCTTTAAGGTTAGATTTCTTCATAAGAGCATAAAATTTCTTCATTTATGCAACATCAATTGGAATCTAATGTTGTACACAACATTTTGGTTTGGCTGTTGATTCATGTATGCATTGCTTCGCATAGCTGTTGGTTTCTAATACAGTGATTTATGTAATTTCTTTAGTGACAAATAAATGAAAAAATTATATTCATTTTGAGAAGGCTGATGGGTCTGCACATTCTGAATGCATTATGCCACTGCAGCTCTGAAAACTGATACCATTAGTCATTGTGCAATTCACACCAGCTTTGTGCCATTCATGTGCTGTTTAAGCTGTTTGAGAATTATCAGTTTCACTTTCACTTTTATCTGAAATAATTTCTATTCTATCAACATCAGTATTCAAGTTGGAGGCATACTGAAGTGGCCCTATATTTGCTTTATCTCCTTCCGCAGTTTCTTTCATTTCATAACTTTGATCTTTGGTGCATGAATCAGAAACACTGTTGGTAAGTTTACAACTGCTTTCCCTATCTGAGTTCATGTTGTAAACAAGCTCTTCATTAGATAAATTGAGATATTTTGCTTCATCAACTGAAAGAAGCTTTCATTTGTTTGTCTCTTTGCAGAAAAATTTTTAAATATGTAAAACATATGACAAGCGTAACAAGTTGTGTGGATAAGAAAACTGCACCAAACCTCTAAATATTAACACCAACTGGTAGAAATTTTGTGAAAACATGATAACGTGCATGAACGTGAAAAGTCACTAGACACACTGCAAATATATAGAAAAACATTGTATAAAGGACAAATCTCATCCCTAGTGCACAACGATTCATCGTGGAAGACAAGATAGCTCATCCATCACAGCAAAAGTGTTATGTGTTTATAATATATAAATACATTTGTGATTTTGTTTACTTTGAAATGCTACTCTGGAAAATTTTGAGTTACATGAATATTTTTTATATTATATTTTGCCAGGAATTGCAGTAGGTGTTAATTTCATGTCTTTTTTTTTTTTTTTTTTTTCCATTTTGTGTGGGGGCTGAGCATATGTGCTAGAAGGATAGTTTAAGATATATATGTACTCTTTATTGACCTTTCTTATCTGGAATGCTTTATTTTACCAGACCTTAATTTAGCCATGACACTTGGGTTATATGAAAAAAATTAATTAATTCTTAATTATTTAACTCTTTTATGTCAAACACTGAATTAATTTGCATGTATGTGAATGATGAAACACTGTATTGTTTCACGATAATTATATCAGAGTTCATACTTTAATTTGCTTTTCTTTGGTTGTGCTTACATTGTGATGCTAAAAATAAATTTATGTTTGCTGCCTAGTATAATTTAGAATTCAATCAGTTCATGAATATTTATATCTGCAAAAATATTTTTAGTTTAAAATTCAGTTGTATGATTTATAATTATTTTTCTTTAAAAGCATGGTTATAGATAATATTTTTTTCCTTTTAAGCTCACAGAAATTGCATGTATCTCTTAGAATTGTTTTGCATTTTGAATGATGCATGCTGAGAAATTTCCATCCTCCATAGTTGATCTGGCAGATTTATGTTTGTTATGCTTTCCTGCAGTGTTTGGAACATATTATTGAAATAATTTTGCACAGGTTAGTTTTATGTTATATATGCAATTTTCTTTTGTTTTCTGTTTCAGTATTTTTATTTGTAAAAAATAATTTTGGTGATATGTTATTTTTATATTTTTGAAAGCACTGCTAAATAAATGAAACGAAAGGATGATTTGTTATTATTTTATACCATTTGCTAAACAAAAAGGAGACTTATTGTCAACTTGTGGAGCAAATTAGTTTCCATTAAATTAATGGATCATAATGATTGAAGGTAATGTAGAATTTATGCAAGTTGCTTGCTCAATTAGTGAAGTTTGATTTTGGAAAAATATTAATTTACTATTGTAATGATAACATATGTTATTTTAAAGGTAAACATTAGTTAAGCCATTTAAAGTAAAAATTACAGCTTTAATAGATCAATGGCTAACTTAAACTACCAGTAATTTATCCTGGGCTCAGAAGGTTTGCTGCGTAATATTTTCCCCCTCTTTGTGTTAATACTAGTCAGTTTTCCTAAAAAAGGCCTGGAGGAACGCATCCTTCACCTTAGGCTGATAGCCTTTGTATACTTTGCTAAAATTAATCAATTAAATATGTAAATACACTTATAAGAATACACTGTAGGAGTATTAAATTAGTGTGAATTTGAGA